GAAATAGATTTTCATTTGCATGTTACGCACGGAAATTAAATGTTAGACGTACAAAGGTATTTATGTGCGTACCTGATATCCTTGAAATCTTATATTTTGTCGTACTTAATTGATTTTGAGGCATACACTATGCCTGTACGCCCCTTATCTGTAGCCCTGTCCTTATTATGATCCAATACGCATGTGCCAAAGAATTCAATATCAACATTGATGTGTTCAATAAGATAAATATGTTGTTCACTGGGCCCATAGGTTGATGTACTTTCTATGTTTGTTTATGTTTCCTGAGCCCTTACACAATTGCAGAAAAGTTCTTTTTGCCGTTTACATTTGGCATAGGTCCTTTGAAAAGGGTCATGTTCACAAAATATTCATATATGTCTCATTTCATACTAAAATTCATATTTTTCCTTATCCTGACTCATGCTTATTGCTTGTCCTCTTCTTCTTGCGAACATAGTGGAACACGTGTATCTCCCAATTGAAGTTCCCTTCAATAAAAAATCACTAATTAGTACTCACCACGAGTTACCTCCCTTCTACAAGGGCGGGAACGAGGGCGCCACCTGAACCCATGTGCCTCACTCTCTCCTACTTCGCCCAGTGAGCTGGACGCGAGAGCACCTGTGTCTCCCGACACACTATATCCTTTATTTATATTTAGTTTAGTACCTCTTATATTCATTTATAGAGGTGTTACTAGTATCCATATTCAATTTGCATTGATTATTAGTCGTGTTTCTGCTGTTTTATTCACGGTTCGCCGTGTTTGTTCAGCAGTTTACGTTAATGAGAATCTGCACAGGTTGTAAACTACGTTATTCAGCTACCGATCCACATTTAAAATGCTCTAGTTGCATTACTCCATGTTCTATTGTTTCTCGTTGTAAATTATGTATTAATTTACCAATTTCTGCCTTAGATAAATATCTATGTTCCGTTTTGAGACTGAAGGCAGATAAATTTGCAAACAATCTTCAGTCATGGCTAATAGATCGGAAGCTAATATACCCTGTCAACTGTTGACCGACGACCCCGCCACCGGCTGGTGGCCTGCCTGAGTTTCCCTCGGGGGATAAGCGTGGGACGCAGTCCGCTATGTCCAAGAAGCGACCTGCATCTCAAGACATTACGTCTTCTCAGTCTAAGACTAAGAAAGCATCCACATCATCTCAACGTACGCTTCAAACCCCCAGGTCCACAGCTTCGTCAAAAGGGAAATCTACAAAAGCTACAAATAATTTTGCCTCCGATATTCTACCTGTCTCAGAATTATGTTTATATGATGACGACATTCCGATTATCATTCCAGATGTACGTCATAAGAAACGTCCAGTATCTGCTACCGTCACCACAGCGCAGATCAATACGCAACCAGAGATGCCTACGCTGACGACAGAGAGGCAACCCTCAACGTCAGCGCAGACCGTCCCAGACGACCTGGTCAACCAAATCATTAGACTGATGGAGGACCGTTACGGTTTACAGAGGCCCCAGAGCCCAACCCATAATAAGTCATACAGTCATTCGCGAAGGAGCTAGAGCCTCACCAGTTGCGAGGGACATCGCGGAGAAGGAGCGCTTCGCCGAGCCCACACCCTGTTGAACACAGAGGTCGTTCGCGAAGCAAGCGCTCATATGTCGATACGGACACTGACTCGATACATTCGCGAAGGTTGCGAAGGCTAAGTGGCTCCAAATCTACCTCACCCAGAAGATATAGAAGAGCTTCACGAAGTCCCCAGCGTTCGCCGAGGATGTCTCCTCCAAGGTCTCCTTACACTAGCCACTCGTCAGTCCGTTCACCACAGTCCTCTCATAGATCTTCCTATAGATCTAGGACTCCGACATGTGACCCAACGTCAGAAGAGGAGGAAGGTATCATTTTCTCAGATGCTGAGATTAGATACTGGATGGTGAATGAGTTACAACTTGCTTCCCCATCGAATAACGAGAATTCAACTCAGACTTACCTCATGAAGGATGATGATGTAGACAATATCACCTTACCTCCTATTGACCTGATTGCAGCGGTATCAGCTAATCTGGATACAGCCTGCTCCAAATCTTCAAATGCCCAAACTACACATTTCCCGGTCTTCAATGCCAAGAAATTTGCTGGACACAACATGGACCCCATTTTCAAGGCCCTGGATATTGATGACAACTTTAAATTAATCAGTGATGCCAAGTCCAGAAGTTGCAGAGTAGACGATCGCAAATTGGCCCAATTAGATACCATCTCCAGGAGAATGTTCTTTGGATTAAATAGATCTAGAACTATTAATGAGACTCTCATCACCAAGTTCAAGAATTCTACAGAGGAGGAAGATAGAATGATCTACTCAGCTCTACTCATGCAGAAAAGAGACCACCAATTTCTTACAGAGCACCTGTCAGCGCGCTTACTGAAACTACTACCATGGTTCGTCGGCAAGGCTTACTAGCCTCCTGCTCTTGGGATAAGCAATTCACAGAATCTCTATACACAGCTCCATGGTCATCGCCCTTACTGTTTGGTGGCAACATAGACAAGGTCTCCAAAGAAGTATCTAAAGACTCAAGAGAGGTACTTATGATCAGATCCATGGATACCTTAGCGAACGTCATTAAACAGTCAGCACAGAGATACTCGGGCAAGTCTAAGTTTTCGGGGCTACAGAAAGCACGGGACAAGAAATTAGCTGCAGCTAAAGATCCCAAGGATTCTTTTCGTCGCCCATACAGCAAATTTAGGGGAGGATCAGCTAGAGGCAGATCATCCAGAGGTGCCCGTGGATTTAGACGATGAAATTCAGGTTCGGAACGACTGGAGTCTTCCACCCCCAGCCGTTCCAGTACAACCTTCTCAAGTGGGTGGACGCCTTCAGCTACACTGGGAAAACTGGGGAATACTACAAGATCCTTATGTATCCAACATCCTACAGCACGGATACTTAATACAACTCAAGGCCAAGCCTCCGTTAACAGTCACCCCTCCAGGGTTCAACGTTCAACCGGCACAACTACCTATGTTAAGAGAAACAGTAGCTTCTCTGCTAAACAAACAGGCCTTAGAAGTTCTGAATCAACGAAACATCGTACCAGGTTTCTACTCCCCAGTTTTCCTAGTGCCGAAGAAAAATTCCAAGGAGAAGTTTCGTCTCATATACAACATGAGCATCTTCAACAGAGAATATCTATGCAAACCACCAACGTTTCGCATGATACACTTACCGCAACTTCGGGCATTTAATTCGTCCCAAAGATTACATGGCCAGCATAGATTTGCAAGACGCATATCTACACATTCCGATTCATCCCAACTCAAGGAAATATCTAAGATTTATCCTAGACGGGAAACATTATCAATGGAAGGTTCTTCCCTTCGGAATCACATCGGCCCCTTGGCCATTCACAAGAGTGACCAAGCCTATTGTCTCATACTTACATCGTCAATGTCTTCGCAGCGCCTTTTACCTAGACGACGGTATACAAGTGGATCCAGATCCACAGCGTCTCAGACTACAGCTGAATTTTATAATCAAGCTACTAACTCAATTAGGATGGTTAGTAAATCTACTCAAGCCGGACCTAGAGCCAACGCAAGATTTGCAATTTCTAGGCACACGATTCTTAACAGCTCAGAATCGCATTGTAGTCCCGGAGGACAGATGAATCAAGATCCAACAACTTTTTCCTCAAGCCCTACTCTCTCCGTTACCACTACGACAGTGGCAGAGCCTATTGGGACTACTCACATCAGCTCAAGACTTGACAGTCAGAGGCAGGCTTCAATTACGTCCGTTACAAGTCCTCATCAATGCTCATCTCGAGGACCCTCTACCATTCAGTCTACCAGATTATGTCAAACCACATCTACTCTGGTGGACCAAGAGATTGAATGTTTGCGCAGGCATCTCCTTAGTAGAGCCGGAATCGAAAACACATCTCTACGTAGACGCGTCACTACAAGGTTGGGGAGCCCACCTTGCCAGCAGGACAGCGTCAGGCCTATGGAGCAATCAAGAGAGCAAATGTCACATAAATCTGCTAGAGATGCAAGCAGTCATAAACGCCATAAGTCACTGGAGCAACCTACTACAGAACGCTCAGTTGATGGTTCACACAGACAATTCAACAGTGGCGTTTTATGTGAACAAACAAGGTTCAACAAGGTCACAGAACCTACTGACTCGATGTTTCAGACTGTTCGATCTAATCGACAATCTAAACATACACGTCAGAGCTTGCCACATTCCAGGAGTAAAGAATGTATTAGCAGACGCTCTCTCTCGGCCACACCACCCTTACCGCTTGGAGGTATCATTTGGAGTGCCTTTTTTTAGTCCCCTTGTAAAGCGCCATTAAGGTCTCAATGGAAGCGCCCTGCTCTCAGCATGGGGTCTCATTTGAAGCGCCCTTTTTCAAAGTGGGGTCTCAATGAAAGCGCCCTTTCCCAGTAGAAACTTGCATTGTTCCAAATATGTAAATTACGCTCCATAAGAAGCGCCCCTGTGGAGTACCCACTGTGGTTCTACCTGGAGCGCCATATAAGGTGCCCTCTCAGTGCTAGCACATGTAGTCCCATTTAAAACGCCCTTTGGGCACTGCATATGTAGTACCACTCAGGGCGCCCCAGACCTTTTTGTGCTACACCATGTAGCGCCGTTCTGAGTGCCCATTGATATCTTGTCCATATCGTGTAGCGCCCTTCCAGGCACCCCTTGAATTAGATTTGAAGTCCCATCTTAAGCACCCATTTGAGTACCCTTAAAGGTGCCTATTAATGTACCATAGGAGGTGCCGATTGGAGTACCATGAAAGGCACCCTATGGAGTACCCATGATCAACCATAAAACTGCAACTGGATGAGAAGTGAAAACCCATTAACCATATGAGCAAATTTAAAATGGATTACACCATGTACATTATCAAAGGACAACAAATTTTATAAAAAGAAAAAATATATATTTATTTTTTTCACAGCTATATAAATCAATAAAATCCGCAATCCAGGTTTATAGAGCAGCTTCGACTTTGTTGAGCTGCTTCTTTTCACGACATCTGAAGGCCGAGAGCTTGTTCCTGAGAACTTTCGTTACTCTCGACCTCAGTGAGTCAGATACACTCATCGTGAATTCTACACAAAAAAAAAGAAAGAAGAAATCAATCACTGACATTATGATCTAAATACACAAACCAATGATATTCATTTTCAATTTAACAAAATTAAAGGTAACTAGATGAGATGTTTCCGAGGTTTCACATTGTCCCCAATGCATTCTTCCTTAAAATCCTCCATCGTCATGCAAGTCAAAACAAAAAAAATTAAGGAAGTATAAACAATAAACCACACAAATTTTAACATGAAAATGAAGTTGGAAATTAGTTTTTAAATCTACTTAAATTATTCAAGTTTTAACAAATAAAAATGCTGAACGAAACACACCAATTATCCTGTTCACAAGGTAAGGGTTGAGGCAGGGATATTGCCCATCTGATGTCAGGGACTTGTTTGACATATCTTCCTTAGAAAAAAAATATGCCCAACAAGTACCTGGCACAGCTGGAGCCATCCCGCCTCCCTTCTTGACCCAACGAGATTTTGTTGGAGGCCCTCCTCAACTGGTCCTCATATAAATATATATGAGAGTGGGGAAGCAGTTCTTTCATCTGTAAACAAAAAATGACAAGGAATACTTGGGATGGCATGGAAACAAACAATTCAAGGATATTGTGGACAAATGTTATTTCATTCACTGGTGCCAAATGCTTCATGACAACATTCACTTCTGAGAACCTGAGCTACATCTCACAAAATTATCAAAAGGACATTTAATCTAAAAATCTATTAACCCTCAATTCCCTTTCTTTTTTTCCACATCAAGCGGACAATAGAACTATCACACAAAAACAACTCTGGTGTACTTACACTACTGCATCCCTTTGGGTAGTAACCCGGCTTTGGCCTTTCAAAGCAAGATGAAGGAGGTTCACTTGTCGAGGGAGGCATGCTCCTGGCTGATTGCAGAGATTCTTAAATTGAAATTATTTTAGTTTAGGTTTCATTGTTGATTTTAAGTCACACAAACCTCTCCAATCATTTGAAATTTGAAATGAAATAACCTTGATAAAACCTTTCAAAAAAATAAAATATATATTTGAATTCACGATTCATTCATTATACATATCAAACAATATATGAATTTTCTACCAGCCCAATTGTTCCTCCAGTTTCTTATGTGCCTGTTCTTTTTGGCCAATTCATCCTCGAGGAGACGACACTTGGTACATGGATAGTCGTCCTCATCTGTCCTCCTTTTTCTTGACTGTTTCACAGCCATTGTGGGATGTCCCTTGCTGTTTCTGGGAACATCTGTTTTAAGCAAGACAATTTTACCAAAATTAATGAAACATGAACACAAACGGCATGTAGTTCATGTGACATAACTGTTTACAGCACAAATATATGGAATGAGTGCACTCTGTTCAACCTCCAACATCTCCAGTGTAATGGTACATTTAAGATGAAGGATCAATCACCATATACAGCTACAACTCTTACATGTTTATGTACGTCAGGGTAAACAGTTAAGACTCAAAATTGTTTTCGACTTTTTCTTTCAGTTTTACCTGTAACACTAACAAATGAACATCTAATTCCTGGTTCTTATTTACCCTCTAAATTTGTTTCTTCTTCTTCGGCCTCCGTCTCACTAGCTGAAGCGTATTGAGACTCGAGGAGATTGTCCATCTCCTCCAGGACCCTCTGTTTTGACTTTTTCAAGGCCTCGGCCTTCTCAGCCTTCTCCTGACGGGCTTTCAGGAAGGCATCCTTCTTCAGTGTATCACGCACACTTTCTTGAACTGAAAATTATTTATTCATTTGTATTCACAATGATGTCAGTAAAAACCTTTTTTTTAATGTAGATAACAATAATACTATGCCATATATCCTTTTTATTTCATAAAGCATATACTTCAAAAGAAATCTTTTAAAGAATGATGTAAACAAATGTTTACAAAGGTAAACAATAAGTTCAATCTGTTTGGGCGTATTCACTGGTAACAAAACAAGTATCATTTGTGATCTATACTGAAATTTTTCTCATAAAATGCTTATGAATTAGAGATATTTAAATCTACATATATTTCACAATGTCTACATGATTTGTTTTACTGCTGTATTTCATTCATATATTATTTCTATCTACCCAAATTTAAATCATGAAAACATTGTTGAATTTTTCATACCTGAGTATGAATAAAAATACAATCTATGAATATTCACTTGCTTATCTACTTATTTCCCTTCCTAATCTCATTTTAATTTGTATATGAGAGCTTGAGCAGTGTGCTGAACGAGTAAGTTTTGATTTACTTTCTAAGTGAACCTCTTCCTTTTGTCACTGCAAATGAAAAATTCAATAGTATTATCCCTTCCTAATCCTCATTTAAATTTGTGTTTGCATAACAATAATAATTCATTTATATATATAAGCTAGCTACTAGTATCCATCTGACTTGTTGCTCACTGGACACACACTGCACAGGACCACAATAGCACAAATATCCTTTTAATAAAATGAAAAGCGAATCCGAAATCTACAAGATCATTTAGTATTAATGCAAAGTGTAATGGCATTGGCATAATTGTCACGACTGCAAGAATATTGGATAAATCTATAGGAATAATATATATACGCCCACCTGAGCTATGGATGACATCCGCGGGGAACAGTTTTCCTGCAAACTTAGCCTGCACCCGATCACCAGGCTTGTACTCCCAAGCTTCTTTTCTTGGCACACAAATTGTGTTCGTCGATTGGACACTAAATGCCAAAATCCTCCACCCAGAACAACGCAACAAACTTGTAGGAAGACATGTCGTAGTACTAGTAGTAAGATATCGCGGATTTCTATGATAGTAACGGTAGATCCAGTCAAATGTAATCGCCAAAGTTGTAACCGGAAGTTGGAAGGAATGGTGGTTGTATTTATGAAGTATTTTAACAGTTATCTAACAACTAGCCATTTTCAAAGGGCAAAGTTGGAACCAAGTACAACAAAATACTCAAAACTAAAAAGTGTTACGAAGATGCTGATAATTCTAAACTCTTATTACCAAAGTTTCTATAAGATCTTCACATCGCTTTGCTTTGGTACCATAGAATATTATATTAGGAGCGGTGCCTATGACAAAGCAAGGAATTTTGCCTACTTCCGGTAGCAGTGACGGGTTTGGAACGCATGTTTTTATCAACACAAGGCCACGTGGCAAACAGTTTGGTAAATAACAATTTGCATTGGCCCTTTTGCTGTGAATTTAGCACAATTGAGGTGATAAACTGGCAGAAATGACTGAGAGGGCAGAAATGACCAAAAGTAAAAAAAGAAAACAAGGCCCGTATAAGAAACATGAATTTGACGAAACTCTGACTCCTAGAACAACTTTATGGAGAAAAATGAGAGAAAGTGCCGATGAAGCAAGCAAGCAGTCTTCCGTGCAGTCGAACGCCAGTGATGAAACAAATCCCATTCACGGAAGACAACCCGATTGCAACGAAGAGTATGGACACAGCGATAATGGTTTGTAAACTTACGAATTTGTCTCTCTTGTTCCCTATGTATTTTGAAGTAACTTGGTATAGACATAATGATTGCTGGGCACTAAAAGTTGAAGGTTATTGTTTACTTATGCTTTTGGACAGGTGTGGATGAACCAGCGTGTTGTCAGCAGTTTTCTAATTGAATGTAAACAGATGTATTGACACTGACGTTCCAAACTGGGTTTCAGATCTTCGTAAAGATTCCAAACTTGAGAATATATATATTCAATTAGAAACAGACAAATTACAATATATTTTTCTGAAGAATATTATTTTAGTTTAGTCTTGGATATGTACTTATCTCATTGTTAATAATTCACATTAAAAATGTTTTGCAAAATATATTTTTTTTTAGCTCAGAAGAAATGAAACAAATATTTTGCATCATGTTGATGCTATCCATTATATGTAATATTGCATTAAACACAACATCTGTATATTGAGAATGTTATGGCGCCTCATCTTATTGTAGCGCTAACTCACATGTATGATTGGCCCCTTTATCGAAATATACACACTCTCATAATGATTAATTCAAAATGATAATCGAAGGACTTCAAAGAACAAACCATCAATTTTAAAATTGTTTTTACTTGCTTACTTTTTACTACCTTACACTTAAAATATAATTAATTGTACAATAGTTCCAATAAGTTTAATGTAGCAAGTTAAGTTTAGTCAGAAAGTCTTTTATGCATTAAAATTGTGCTTAGAAATTTCATGTTAATTTATTTTATGCTTAGATGAAGCAAAGGACCCAAAGAGCCCTGTATCTGAAGATGATATGCAGGTAGACGATTATGAAAATGAAGATGCAATGAAAGCAGAGGGAAAGTTTGCTGATGACGAAGAAAGCTCATCAGAGATTGAAGAATGTGATGAAGAGCCATGATATTGATGATACAGAGGACAGTAAGTGCAAAACTAAATGCACATTTTTACAGATACATTTTAAAAATTTTAGATTCACATTGAAAGATTCACATGAAAATAAACATGTCAGTATAAGTTGGTTGGTCATGGAATGTTGGAATATGATTTTTGAATAGTCATAATCATTTAAGTTATGTTTTTGTTCACATTTTCAGATTTCCAGAACTTTGCAGAGAAATCATCCCCATTGTACAGTGGAGCTAGAATTACGGAACTAGTCAGTGTGGTTTTGATAATGAGCTTCATAATAAGACATCAGCTGACTGGGGAAGCATTGAAAGATTTATTGGTCTTAATTGAACTTCATTGCATAACTCCAAATTTGTGCAGAACTAGTTTGAAAATGTTCAACAACTTCTTCAAAAGTATGTCATCACCTGTGCAGATGCACTACTTCTGTAGTTTTTGCAACACTTACCATGGGAAAGCAAGTCAGCCAACCTGCCAGAAATGCCAGAAAAATCAACAGTCATCCTTCATATACATTCCAGTCATAGGTCAATTACAGTCACTATTTTCAGGTAAGAGTCGAGATAGGTAACCTGATTTATTCAAGGTTTTGACAGACTTGAAATTAGAGTGCTGCCTTGAAAAGACCCTAATTTCTTATTGAAAAATATGTAAAATGTCTTGAAAAACCTTGAAAATAAATAATCCCTATATTTCAAATAAAACTTCAATAATATTGTATTGCTTTATTAAAATTGATAAGATTGCAATTGCTTTATTTTCCTACATTCATTTCTTAAATTCTTAGGTATATTAGATTCATCAATTCCCTAAGCAAAGTTTTATCAGTAGTTGATATAATAGTCAGTGAACAAACCTGTATGACCATTTTCCTATTGGGAAATGTTTGACAACTGTTGTGTGATAGAAACTTGTACTTATTCAACTTAAAAGACTTTAACTCTTTCAACACCAGTCAACCAGAGGCATTTACTGCCATGACACAGAGTTCCCAGAGACTCTGAGGTCATAGATGAAGCCTATGTTTATGAAGGAAATTTTAAGCTTGTAAAACGTTATTGCTACTACATCCCATACACCATTTAAAAGATCTAATCCTACTGTTGATAAATATGAAGTTTATTTTTATAATATTATTCAAATAATACAACTACAACTTAAATAAAATTTATATTTGAATGAAAATGCAAGCTTACATTTATAACGTCCAGATAAACCATGAAAGAAGCAAAAACTACGGCGATTTTTTCCAATTGTGACATGTCATAAAATGCCCGTGCCTTTTTCTTTTATATTTTCATTTTTACGTAATCAGAAAATTATTATAAAAATATTTCTTAAACAATATGTATGGTCGCCTATTTCCGATATCTGTGGCTTTCCACCGGTAAAATGACATAACAACTGAAAATACCTCCGTTTTCGAAGCTTCGTATATGAATAACATGCTGCCGGCAAATGGATTTGATGTCGGTCATCGTTCAAAAGCTCTGAACATCAACAATATCACTGTACCCTTGCCAAGAGTATTTTCTATCGTTTGTAAGAAGCGATTTTATTGGATAAAGATTGGTTTCTAATGACGCTTTTACGCCACAGTCTGCTATAAGGGTCGTGATTGGTCAAAATGAGACACG